AAACATATGTAATTAAGAAAAATGACATCAGACAAACAACACCAAATGCAATTTCACTTTTTCGTGGATATGTTGATGAATCATCACCACGACGTGATCGTGATGCACTTTGACCTGTAGTACTACCAGTCGTTTTTTTCAATTGATTGATATCCAAATTACGCATATAAGTTGTTAAAATACTTGATATACCAATACCGGATAGAACACACATAACAGGTGCAAGAACTAACATTAAACGAACCATAACACCCTAAATCAATATATATATATATATTATTTAGAAAGAAAAAAGTTTGTTTTGAAAATATCTTACGGCAAAATAGATTGCTGTCATTCCATACATAATAATAAAGATATTTGCATCAGTTAATTCTTTAAAACAATAATAAATACCAACTAAAAATGAATAAAAATAAAAATTTTTTTAAATTTAGTAAAACAAAAAGAAAATAATAATTTATTTCATGTATACCTGGAAACATAAAGACAAGTAATTCAAAATCAAAAAAGAAACTTGACCAAGCTGTCGGTTGATGTTCACTAACACTAGCTATAATAGGTATATGATTTTTTGCATATGATGGATCTAATAAAGCATAAAATCGACCAGTCCATGGTGCAATTTCTAAAAAGAAAAAATAAATAAATAAATATTCAATTATAATATAGAATTTATCATATTAAGAATTCTAAAATATTTTCTGAAAATTGAAATGTAAAATAATCAATCTAAACATGTCACTATTGATTATTTTCTTACTTCCACTAGCCCATAAAACTAATCCAGCAATACCAATACCAAAACCAACAGTAACAAGTGCAAATGAAAATAATGCATCAAATTGTGCTTGTGACAATTTTGATTTCACATATTCAATAAATGAAAATAATTGACATAAACCAAATGTACCAAATGCCTAAATAAAGACATCTATTAGAAGAAAACAAAAACAAAATCATCATTTAATTGAAATCTTACAAGCATATGTTCACTTGATTGTACCGGTTGAAAACCAACAAATGGTATTTGCATTGATAAAATTGTTCCCAAAATATAAACCTTAAAAGATAAAACAAACAAATAGTTAATTTCAATCTCAAATATTCATAAAAATAAAAATATATTTACAGTTGAATATGCCACATAAATTCTATGTGAAAAATGTCCCGTAAACATCAATGCTAGAACATGTAATGGTATTAAATTGATTAAAAAGACATAACCACCCCATGATGAAACCATATAAAAATAGGCTAATGCACATGATGCTGACCACATAATTGAACCAGTTTTAATTGCTTTAATCCAGAAATAATATGTTAATAACATACAAAATATTGCAATGCCTTCATTATCATATGAACCAGCAACTGAACGTGATATATAACCGGGTACAATCGATATAAGACATGCAGCAACAAGACCAGCACTTGCATTCTTAATATTAAAGAGAAAAAAAACAAATTTTTTAAAAAGAGTTAAATTTAAACAATGTCTTTTGTTTACCTTAAGTTCTTTTGTCAATAAATACGTTACAATAACAGTAAAACTTGAAAATAATGGTGCTAAAAAAACGCATACATTACGAATATCAATCGTAATATGAAACCAACGTAATGTATGATAAATAGCAGCGGATGTAACCATTAAACCAGGATAAATAGTACCACCAATAATACGTCCTAATGGATACCATGCTCGATCATCAAACCAATTATGAAATGAATAAAAGCCTTCATCAGCTAAGAATTTTGTTGTACGATAATTAAAATATGGATCAAATTCGTGAATAACTGATTCATAACGTAAAACAGAAAATAAACGTGTAGCAAATGCTAATATACCAGCAAAAGTTAAGATAAATAACTTTAAAAATGTTTCCTGTTTATCATAAGATAATTTATGCGGTAAAAGTTGTTTGAATGGGAGAACAGATGTTAATGCATCCATATCTTAAAGAAAAAAGAATAAAGCATATATAAAAAACGAAAATATTCTTCTTCGTTTTTGTTATGTATAAATAAACGTCTCATAGATCTTTGTTATAAGCGTTTAATGGAAAGTAAAAAACAAGTGGCTACAGATTTTGCTTTGCTTTCTCTAGATTTTCATTCGTTCCTTAGTTTGAAAACGTGGACAACAGTAGAACGGCAAACAGGCATCAGATGGAGATTAAATGTAGTGACGTGTTCATTATACAGACTGTGTCTCCATCTATTTGAGTTATTTATCAAAAATTATATTTTATTTAAAATAATTTTTAGAATGAATCTTATTTTTTTAGATTTTATTTATAAAACTAAATTTTAATAGAGTCTCGTACTGTACATTGATTATATTACAGCAGTGATAATGGCCGAAAAAAGTGCATAAAAGAAATCGTGTCGATTGTTTGATAAGGCATTAAGAGACAATCCGTTGTATTAATTATTGAAGTAGAATGCTTAAGAAGTCGATTTAGACAGATTAATCGTCCTAATCATAAATCAAAATTATATCTAAATAATAAGGCATTACCGAATGACGTGTCAAATAATATTTTGATTAGAAACTCGAGTTTAAACAGAAAATTAAAACTTCATTTCGTTACCATCTATCACAGTAAATAAGACACAAGTAATTAGATCGAATTCTTGCATTCAATTTCTGTATATATTGATTGACTTTTTGATTGAAATTATTGGAATAATGTATTTATTACTCTACAATAGAATCTTTCGAAGTGGTTCATAACTTTTGAGCTTATATTTTGCTGACATAGAAAAAATATGCAGTTTAAAATAATCTTAAAAGCTTTCGTGTCCATAGCCTGAAATTTTTAGAAGAGGCTTAGCATCATATGATCTACTTATAGATGAAACTTCAGGTAGAAAAGAACTTGCTACTATTTTCTTTCTAATACACTATCCTATGGTAAGAATCCACCAAAATTGTTGTATGTCTATAGAGAGGATCGAAGGGGCTGAATCCTTTTGTGCTTATTCTAGTCTAGAAGTCTTCTCAATATACCTACAATATAAGCTCAAAAGTGATGAAATACATTTTGGACGATTGGTCCTCTTGTTAGTAGTAAATATTATAATATATGACGTCAGATATTTTATGTATTACGCTGACATTGTCATTTCATTTTTGGTCATTCCGATACCATCTCTTAATTGGATTAACTCTTTGGCGGCGATGTGAGTCACCGGTGGCTCACATCATAATGTACATTGGTTAGGTGGTCATAAAAACAAAACATTCTCAGAAAATTTCTTCATCAGACAGATTTTATGGAACTATCTCTGCTGATCATTTCGGTTAAAAAAAATTTAAAATTTGGCTAACAAATGACGGTGCTAGGTTCAAAATACTGGAAAATCTCAAGTAGATCTGTCGTTAGAGCTATAACATTTTGCCGTATTTTTGCCCTAGCACCATCGTTTATTTGTGAAATTAATTTTTTTTTACCAAAGTGATCAGCACAGGTAGTTCCACATAGTCTGATAGACGAAACAAATTTTGTGAGGATATTTAGTTTTTATTGGTGACCATCCGTGGAGGTGCCCAATTATACTCCTGAAATTTTGAAACTTTTCATGATTCTGCAGCCTGTTATCATCCTATGAATTATTGGTTATACTCCTAAATCATGTTTTCGACGGGCTTTTGTTTCATATAAAATTCACTTTCATTTTTCGTTGGTTTGAGCTTTAATCTCTCGAAAAACATTTTCGAAAACACTGCAGAATCAAATCGCCGTGAAAGGGTTAATAGGAGAATAGAAGTCTTCAAAAATCTTTTGTATTTTCAATACATAGTTTTTAGAACATTTTCCGTGCTCTACAACAGAGTGTTATACTATTCCATTTGGATATTTCACTACTGTGATGTACTGATTTGATAAAGCTGATAACTAAAAGAAATGAACTGCTATACATTGATATCTTAATAATTCTGAACCTATTACTGCTCCAATGATAAGAAAACTATTAAACTATGTTTACCCCAAAGGTAGAAGTGTATGTAATTGATTCAATAAACAAATACACAAAACTCCTGATTTTTGTTTTTTAACTTGAATAAGTTTAGAATGAAATTCAAGCACGATCAATACCATTTATGTGATAATGAGGATCAACTAAAGGATGAACGTTTTTGCTAAGAAAAAAATGACATGAATAATATTCAAGAAAGTCATATACATTAACAAGAATGGGTAACATGTACTGGAAGATTTATACCATCCAATGAACTTGAATAACTTCTTCATTTTGATAGAGTTCCATCAATTCAATCATGAACAATAAATACTGGTGCCACAAATGAGTTTGCTACATATGATCTAACTAGTAATGATGAATTGAGGCAAATAACAAGTCAATCTTCACGAAAAAATTAACTAGTTAAAATTAGCAAATACATTGGGCTTTCTTGAATATGCTATTGAAACAGATTAAGTTAGAAATTCTTCTGATACCATAGCAACGGAAAAAGTTTACTTTTTCCCCTTCTTTAAGAGTAATAATCGCAAAAAATATTTATATATATAAATTATTTCTAATTGGGCATCAATAAGAAGGTTCATTAGCTACAAAACATCAACTTAAACACTTTTTAAGGCAAAGTAAACTTGATGCTCTTATTTTGATTTTTAATTACTGTATGGTAGTTTATCTTTAAAAAAACTCGCTTGTTTTTTATAATAAATTCAAAATCATTGGTTATGGTTTTTCTCTATGAATCTAAGATAGTTGTCTAAAGCTTCACGCATGGAAGATCCTTAAGATCACTTATTGCAGCATAAAACAATAAAAGTCATAGAAGAATGAAGCTCTATGCTGCGCTAAATTATTTTCTTTTTACTATATAACTAAAAAAAAAAGTTTTCCAATAATTTGAATGTGTAGAAAAAAAAGACAGTCGTATATCTGTTTATGATGGAAACTGTTGTTTTCATGATACTGACGATGCATTTCATTGAGTGCCATCAATTAAAGTCCATAAGTTGTACTTATTGAAGAAGTACAGTTGATTCTTCAATTGATTCAAGAATTAACATATACGGTCTTCCAGGAGCTGATGGTGGTTGCACAAATGATCGTTCAAGTAAACGTATATTATTAGAAGCTGTTCTTCCTGGTAATTTTCCAACCGGGATGCCAGAATGCGACAGACTTCGTGAGACTGTCATATCTATTATGGGTCTGGAACTTCGTTGCATTGATATTGGTTCCTCTTGTACAGTAAGAGGTCTGAATGTGGGATGCTCCTCATCCTTTGTCTTTGGACAAGGTATTTCAGAAACTGTAGCAGGCACAAGACCAACTAAATCATCCATTTCTATTAGAAATTCTGCATAAACTCCCATTGGTAAAGTTAAGCCTTTGAATCGAATACGTAATTCTTCATTTAGTTGATTGTAAAGGCGCTTAGGCTTTTCTTGACACATTCGAAAAAGTCGAATCAGAGCTTTACCTGACATCGATTCACATAAGGGCATCATGTCATAGAGACGTAAATCGAATAGGAAATCAAGCACATCACCACTTTTCCATAAATTAATCGGGACAGTACGGTATGTCGAATTCATCGTTTTACGATTTGTATATTCTGTGGGTAAGCGAGGTGGTTCCTCAAACGAGTGTAGGTGTGTTTTTGAGTTTGAAACTGATGCCATTCCTTCTTGTTTGTCTCGGTCAACACGTATTGCAGAGGAGCTAGACGTAGGTACTTGCGATCGAGAAGTACTACGCATTGGACTCTCATGTTGTTGTTTTTTGGCAGTCACATGTGAGGCAGAAGTAGTTGTGAGATTTGCCGACGATTGTGCAACATTATGCTTCGATGTTACTTGTTGCGGTTGCTTGTCAACAGTAGATGTGTTACGAAGTACTGTATCGGTCGTCATTTGTGGTCGTGAACTAGAATACACGAATACTTCTCGCTGTGACTGTGTCTTGGCATTAATACATTCATTAGAAGATGCAGAACGAGCAACTGAAGATTGGGAAACAAGAGGCACTTGTGTTGGCTGCTGTTGCCGTTTATCGGTTGCGGCAGGTAAAGCACAACAAACAGTAACATGTGTTGAGGGCTCTGAAACAAGAAGCATTGCTGTTGACTGCAGTTGTTGATTAAGGAGAGCAGAATGGTCGGAGCCAGATGTTTCTGATTTTGCAACTGGGCATACTTCTATTTTCTGTTGTTTATCGATGGCGTTAGATAAAGCAGAAAAAACAGTGTTATTTGTTGACGGTGGTGAAACAAAATGCATTGGTGTTCGTTGCGCTTGTTGATCAGGATGGACATATGTAGCATGCGATTTTGAAATAGGTCGAACTTGTGTTTTCTGTTGTTGTTTACCGACTGTGTCAATTGGGGCAGAAGAAACAGTATTATTTGTTGACTGTTCTGAAACAAAATACATTGGTGTCAACTGTGCTTCTTGATTAAGGTCAACCGATGTATCACAATAGATCGAGTCATATGTTGGTGATTGTGAAACAGGATGAATTTGTGCATCCTTTTGTAATTCATCGATGATAACAGGCGAATCAGAAGAAACAGTGTTATTTCTTAGCTGTTGTGAGACAGTATGCATTTGTGTTAGCTGTGATTGTCGATCAAGGGAAGCAGATGTACCAGAATAAGCAGAGCCATACATTTGTGATTGTGAAACAGGATGAATTTGTGTTTTCTCTTGTAGTTCATTAATAATAACAGCTGAATCAGAATAAACGGTGTTATTTGTTAGCATTTGTGGAGCAGAATACATTTGTGTTAGTTGTGGTTGTTGATCAAGGCGAACACAACTAGCAGAAGGAAATAAGCTAGATGTTTGTGATTGTGGAACAGGAGGAGCTTGTGTTTTTTTTTGTTGTTGTTTTCCGATAGTGTTTACTGAAGCAGAAACAACAGTGTCATTCGCTATCAGTTCTGGAACGAGATGCATTGATGCCCACTGCGCTTCTTGATCAAGGTTGGTAGATGTGTCAGAGTAGCCAGAGTCATATGTTTGTGATTGTGGAATAGTATGAATTTGTGTTTTCTGTTGTTGTTGTTGTTGTTGTTTTCCGATAGTGTTAATTGAAGCAGAAACAACAGTGTCATTCGCTAATAGTTCTGGAACAAGATGCATTGATGCCCATTGCGCTTCTTGATCAAGGTGAATAGATGTATCAGAGTAGCCAGAGTCATATGTTTGTGACTCTCGAACAGATTGTACTTGTTTTTTCTGTCGTTGTTTTTCGATAGTATTTACTGAAGCAGAAGCAACGATATCATTTGTTAACAGTTCCGGAACAATATGCATTGATGTCCATTGTGCTTCTTGGTCAAGGCGGACAGATGTATTAGAATAGGCCGACTCATATGTTTGTGATTGTGAAACAGGATGAATTTGTGTTTCCTCTTGTAGTTCATCGATAATAACAGCTGAATCAGAATAAACGGTATTATTGCTGAACTGTTTCGAAATACAATGCATTTGTGTTAGATGTGGTTGTTGATTAAAACGAATATGTGTAGCGGACGGCGTGCAGACAGATATTTGTGATTGTGAAACAGGACGAACTTGTGTTTTCTGTTGTTGTTTTCCAATAGTGTTTGCTGCAGCAAAAGTAACAGTGTCATTTGCTAACAGTTCTGGGACAAGATGCATTGATGTCCACTGCGATTCTTCATCAAGATGGACAGATGTACCAGAATAGGCAGAGTCACATGCTTGTGATTGAGACATGGGATGTACCTGTTTTTTCTGTTGTTGTTTATCGGTGGTGGTAGTTCGAGCAGAGGAAACAGTGCCATTTGTTGACGGTTGTGAGACAAAATGCATTGGTATTACTTTTGGTTGTTGATCGAGGGGAACAGATGTAGCAGACGAGGCAGAGCTAGGTGCCTGTGATTGTGCAACAGGACAAGCTTGTGTTTTCTGCTGCTGTTTGTTGATGATAACAGGTGGAGGAGGAGAAAATTTGTTATTTTTTAACTGTTGTGAAACATTATGCACGGCTGTTAACTGTGGTTGTTGATCAAGGATATCAGATGGGACAGAAGGGAACGTGCTAGTTATTTGTGATTGTGCAACACGGCGAAGTTGAGCGTTCTGTTGTAGTTTATCGATGACAATAGGTGAAGCTGAAGAAACAGTATTATTTGCTATCGATTGTGAAATAGGCTGCATTGGTGTTTTCTGCGGATGTTGATCAAGGCGAACAGATGTATCAGATGGTACGGAGTCAGATGTTTGCAATTGTGAGACAGGACGTATTTGTGTTTTTTGCTTTAGTTTGTCGATGATAATCGGTGAATCCGAATAAACAGTGTTATTTGTTAGTGGTTGTGAAGCAGAATACATTTGCGTTAGCTGTGGTTGTTGATCAATGAAAACAGATGTATCATAATAGATCGAATCATATATTTGGGATTGTGAAATAGGACGAAGTTGTGTCTTCTGCTTTAGTTTATCAACGGTAGATGTTGAAGCAGAAGAAGTATTGTTATTTGTTAGAGACTGTGGAACAAGATGAGTTGCTGGTAGCTGCTGCGGTTGAGAAATAATTGTAGATGTAGTAGGAAGTACAGTGTTGGTCGTAATTGGCGGACATGAAATAAAATATCCTAGCGTTTGTTGTTGTGGCTGTTTGTGGACACTGATAGATTCGTCAGAAGGTATGGAACTAGATGTTGCAGATTGAGAAATAGGAATTATTTCTATTGGCTGTTGTTGCTCATTATCGATGGTGATGAACCTAACAGGAGGAGCAGTGTCATTTTTGAATGATTCTGTGATAGTTTTCTTTGTTTGCTGTTGTTGCTGAATAGAAGTAGAACATGCGATAGAGGACTGGGCATTAATCGTTGAAGTTCGTGGTTTGGGAGGTACTGGCGCTTGCTGTTGCTTTATCTCAACATTACAAGATGCGTCAAAAGAAACAGTAGAAGATGTTGAGCGCATTAAAACAGGAGAAGTAGTTTTTTGGTGCCGCTTGTCGTAAAAATCTGCAGTTATGTCAGAGGAACTTGATGCTGGGGTTAGTGCTGATGAAACAGAATAGCATCTTTTCGATGATTGTTGCTTTTCAACAACATTCGATGCAGTAGAATACCTATAGCCATATATGGAATATGGTGAAGGAGACGGTGTTGCTGTTAGCTTTGGCTGTGACTCTGTGATCTGAGAAGTGATAGATGTAGTAGTTAGCGGTGTTGATGCAGGATAAATAAGTTTCCGCTGTTGCTGTTTCTCAACAGTGGCAGCAAGGTCAGAGGAGACAGAACTAGCTGTTGCTGATTGAAGAACAGAGTTCACTGCCATTCGTTGTTGTTGTTGGCGGTATTGTTGTTGTTTTTGTTGTTTTTCAGCAATAAAAGATTCGATAGAAAGAGTGGAATCAAATGTTGGTGGTTGTGAAATCGAATAGTCTGTTATTTTATGCTGCTTGTATGGTTTATTGACACCTGAAGACATAGTAGAAGTGTCAGCGTTAAGTGTCGAAGAAGTTGAATGTGAAAGCATTGATATTTGTTGTTGTTGTCCGCTACCGTCAGATGTAGTGGAGGTCATGGATCTAGATTTTGTTGATGTTGAAACAAAATGCTTCTGTATTGGTTGTTGTTGCATATCATTATTAAATGTTGTGGAAGGCGTAACGCTAGATGTTGGTGGCCCTACAACAGTGTGGGTTTGAGCTTGCTCTGTTTCAACAATACCAATAGATTTGATAGTTGGGATCGAACTAACCATTGGTGGTGGTGGTGGTGGTGGTAAAGTAGTACGCTTCGATTTTTTCTGTTGTTTTTCAATCAAATCAGGCATTATGGAAGAGTCAACATCAGCTATTGATGTTCCTAAGGTTGTAGATGGTGACATTTGTTGTTGTTTATCGATGGGAGCAGATGAAAAATGATTTGGTACGCAACTAGTAGAACCAGTTACAGTCAAAGACTCAACAGGTGCATGAGACTTATTAGAAACAGTCGAGGGTACAGATGAATTGTGTGCGATGTTGAACAGTGTCGATGCCTTTGATCTGTGAACTGGAATTTCTTTCTTACATTGTTGTTGTTTTACTTTTTCTAAGAGCCATGTGGATGCAGTTTTGAAATCAGATCCTGCGAAATCAATATAGGTACTGTTGTTTATCATAGACGCTAACCATCCTTTAGGTTTGTAGCCAGTACGTATAACCAACGGAAGAATCAATCGTTTGGAATTAAATGCATATTCAGCTTCAGCTTTACAATTATTATTGCGTTTATACGAATCTGACATACATAGAATAACAAATTGAGAATTTTCTATTGCATCTGCGACGACTTCCATAGCTAGAGTAGAAAAATGATTCGAGCTGTATTTTATCAAAGTACTATATTGAAAGCGTATCCGTAACAGAATCATCCTTTAGTTTTCACTATGGACTGTAGAAGTATACGAGTCAATCGGATAAGTGATTGAATCCTTAGTCAAAACATACAAAGAAAATATATAATATACAGTCACCTTACCGTTTCTGTGATTATGAGCACTATCAAACCAAACATTATAACCTTCGTTAGTGAGAAAGTTCTGAATTTTATGAACAATATCTTTGTCAGCACAACAATATGAAATCATTATATCATATTTATAATTTTGAGTATCAGTTGCAATTTTTGTTGTCGCTCGCATTTTCATTTTCTCAATAATATTCTCTCGAAATTCAGGTTCTATTTAATGAAAATGAACACATAAAAAAATTTTAAACTGCTATATTTTTAAATTATACCGTTAACAAGTTTCCAAAGAAGTCCATCAGCCACTTCTCGTGTGCCATTGTTTGTTCCTTCGATTGACGCTATAATAGTACCATTTTGACGACTATAATAATTACTTGAAGGGCGCATCGTATTTTGTTGATTATCATCGCTAACAAACCGTAGTATATTATCTAATGAAAGAATAAATTGTGATTGTTCACGTAATTGTTGAGCTATTTGTTCATTAAATGATAGTGTCCAAAAACATTCAAGCAATAATTTTTTTGATAATCCATGTAATTTTTCGTAATAATACATTAAATGTGATACTATTCTGTATTTTAATATGTCATGTTGAATTTGCTCATATGGTGCTAAACCTTGAAATAAATATTAAAAAAAAACACATCGAAATAAAAAGACTTTAGAAACAAGAAAACTTATTCTAGACACTTATTCATTTACCTTTTAATGTTTCAAGAAGATGTATTATATTTCGATCGTTATTTTCTCGATTAGAATTCTCATATACATTTGGATGATGACGAGTTTCTATTTCTTTTCCTAACAAATATAGAGTTGTCGAAAGTAAATTTGACAAGTTGCCCACTGCTCTTTCAATGTCATTTTCATCCACTACATATACAAGCATCATATAAGCACTTAAAACAATAGTTTCATGAGATGTTGTTGTTAGTTGTCGAAAAATTGCTATCGGTTTAAGTTTTTTAATATAATCCAATGCATTGGGTTCATAAACTAGTACACTAAAAACGACCAGTGTTGCATCAATCAATAAGGTTTCTAAATTGTTTGCACTTGGATGTATTTTCTTAATTAAACTCGTTTCACTAAGAAGACATAGCAGATGATTAATAAGTAATCGAAATGATTTATTATGAGTATGGGATGAAAAATAGCCGTCAGCATAAACAATAGTTATAATAAGATTATGAATAGCACGCATCATTGAACTTCGCCATTCTTTAATGGTTTTCATATGTTTATCAAGTATTGATACATAACGTGGTAACATTATTTCTAACACATGTTCAATGGCTTTCTCAACACAGGGTCCTTAAAAAATAGAAACACAAATATTCAAATATATATGTAACAATTGAAAAAAACCAAGTTTACCATTATAACCAGTAAGAAAATACGGACATTTAATAAGGAACAATTTTTGGCTTTCTGTAAGTGAACCTGCTTTTGCTTGTAAATTGCTAAATAATTTAAAATAATTTTCTGATGTTAAACAAGTAATAGTCGGTTGAAGTAATCGTGCAAATAAATTCTGATGTAAATTTATGGGTAAATGTTGTTGAATATGACACATTATATTTAATAAACGTGTTATTTGTTTAATTATATGTTCATTTTCAATTGCTTTTGAAATATTATTTATATGAATTAAACAATTTGCTAAAGTATCAAGAAATGTTTCCTCAGTAATCCAATGTATTATTTTTGATACATTATCTATTTTCTTAGCTATCTGATAAATAAATACAGTACAATTACGTAAAATATAAATTTCTTGATTATTTAATTCATTTGATGTATGTAATTCACTTAAAAGAAGTTGTACTGTGTTACGGACGAGAGTAAAAAAATAATGTGAACTTATTTCAAGTAATGCTGATGGAAAATTTGAAGATAATGTTGTAACTATTTCATTTAAAGAATTCAAATATGTTTTTAACGGGCATTTATGTGAATACGCTTCGTGTACACAATCATTGAGTATAGATGATAGTTCATTTACATCAATACGTGTTGCTTTACGACGTAGTGTTGCACAATGGGCAGCAACAAGTAATGATGGTGGTTTTGGAGCAGATTCATGATTATCGTTTATTTGTTTTACCATTAGTTTTGTTATAGATAATATAAACAGTAAATAATCACATATACAGTAAATTATTGTTCAAGATAGAAATAATCGTAACGACCGTCTTTTTTTTTTATTTGAATATCAACCATTGAAATAAATGACTATTTTGCCTTGACATAGAATACCTTTTTATAATCGAGTATGAAGAGTAAATGATAAAGGAAGATAATTTTCTCAACCGTAACAATGTACATCTGAATTACGCTTGACATATCTTTTTCTTTCTATCAAAAAAAGAATAACAGGATACATTCGATCAGTTATCATTACGTAGGTGGTTTGCTCGTATTTGATATTGTTACAATGAAATTCAAGAAAAAAAAAACTTAATAAGTATAATAGTAATAAGTAAAGAAATTATATTTTCATATCTGATTAATTTTTTTTAAGAACTACTATTAAAACATATATGAAAAGTATCTGTTCTTTATTTTATGAGCAAACGTCAAACCAAGATATCAGCGGATAAAATAAATCATTATCTGATTCTCCTTGATATATCTTGCTTTGTTCTTTTATCCATTCATTACCAGCATTTTAAATATTTGATCTATAGAAAAAGAATCGATATCTACTAAATGATCAAATGTAACGTTTCTTGCTGTTTAGCTTATTATAAGCGAGCAATTTATCCATGGTCATATTTTATGAGTCTTATAAAGTTAATATTACAAAAAAAAAACGATCCAAATGTAATTATAATTGGATATTAAGAAGTGAATGTAATATTTTTACCTATTATAAAGAATGTCATTACGTAGTATATCCAATATAACAAATGGATATTGATTGATCAGAATAGAAAGAATGTAATAATACGCGATGCAAACATTTTTGAAAAAAAAGCCTATTAAAACACTCACTTTGTAGCAACCAAACATAGGACTATGTTGAATATTTTTTGTGTGTAAAAACAAAGTTTCGAGATCACATTTTACATAGATGTAACTATAGTGGGTGGGAAAGGAGTGATCACCCCCACTTTTAGAAAATTTTCAGTTTTTTCAGTCAAATTCATATTTTTTCTTTGATTAAGAACAACGATCGTAAAGTGGAAAAAGAGAGTTTAGTATCAGTCGCACTTAGAAAAAATTATATATGCACCTTTACAGCTTTCAAAAAATCTTCGTGCACCTTCCTCCCCCGCCACTTTTTTCTTCGCCACATTTCTGACGTTTTATTTTGTTTTTCACGATTATATTCCAACACTAATGGTTTCAATAAAAAAAAAAAGAATTTTATCTAAATAATTTGATTTTATCTGCAACGAGATGTACGTTACTGAAGATTTCATTATAAAACATATAATTAACGACCATAAAGATTTAAAAAAAAACATAAAAACAAAACAATACATGATTATTATTCTATCTATTATAAAAGAAAAAGTTGCATTAATCAAACAAAAAAATTCCTTTCTTCATCTTTGATTTCAAATTCCGAAACAAAATCATATATACATATAAATTTTTTGTAAATCCATACAAATGTCATTGTACATGTTGTATATATATTATATTATTCTTTTTTTTTCTTCTTTTTTTTTTATTTCAATTTCATTTCATCATAAAAATACGATGCATAGACGTAATACTGAAATATTCAAAAATCCAATTCATCTTGTACGACCACTTACAGTCGACCAAAATCGAGTATGTATTTTTTGAAAAGAAAAACTATATATATATATTTCTAAATAAATTTAAAAATTATTCAATATCCATACATATTATATTTTTTATAAAGCGATTAGAACGACGTAAAAATTATGATATAAAAACAAATGAACGTCGTCCAAAAACAGGTGGACTAGAATCAACAAATACATATAATAGTGATTTTCAATCAAGTTCAACTTCAACTAATTTTTCATTTGCTAGTGATGAAGATTATGATACAGATTTAGATGATGATGTTAATCAATATCGTGATCGTTCATGTATTGGAATGTATAAATATGTTTGTAAATATGAACAAATTGTACCTGTTGGACAGTATTTGAAACATTATGATCAAAAAGAATTATTAATGCATTATTATGGTTTAGGTTCAAAAGGTATGCGAGCATTTCTACCAAGTTTAACAGTATGTAAACATAAAGTTTTAATTCATAATAATAATATTTATACTATGTATGTTTTATTATTTTATTTCAGATGAACACATATATAACTAAACTTGATTTAACAAGTAATGGTCTTGGTGATAAAGGTATTATTTATTTATCACAAATTCTTCGTGATAATATTGCAATTGTTGATATTAATCTTTCACAAAATTTTATTGGTCTTGATGGTACTCGACATTTATGTGATATGTTTAAAGATAATGTAACAATTAATCATTTAAAACTTGAAGGTTAAAAATAATTCTTTTTGTTTCTTTTAAAAACTCATTTGGAATAAATATCTTTATTTATGTAGGAAATTTATTAAATGATGAATGTGCTCGTCTATTAGCTGAACTTATTTCAGTAAGATTTGAATATAAAGAGAAAAAAAATCAATCAATGAATATTATTCTATTTGATTTCGTATAGAGTACTGGACAATTATATACATTAAATTTGGCAAAAAATAAACTAGGATCAACAAGTGGTATTTTCTTAGGTATATCGATATGATAAATTTATACATATTGAAATAGCGTTTTGTTATAATAAGGTCAAGCTATTGCTGAAAATACAACAATGGAATCTCTTGATCTCAGTTGGAATTCAATAAATGGTAAAGGTGCTGTTGCATTAATTAAAGGAATTCAAGTAAGAATTTTTCATATGAAAACTTTGAACAAAATAATTATATCAAGAATACAATCATTTTGAAAAAAAAATATATCGATTGATTCTAGATAATTGTTTTTCACATTGACATTTATTATAACATAGTAGAATTATTTGAACAGAAAAATTGTCTTTGACAAAACAATTGACTAATAAAATCTTCAATATTTTTTCTATCTACATAATTAATTAACACATAATATGTTAATTTAATTAAATAGGAAAATGTTTTTCTTAAAAAATTAAATTTGGCTCATAATGGTTTATCAGGAGCTGAATGTGGTCGTGCTTGGTTCAATGCTTTCAAAGAGAATACTTCACTTGTTGAACTTGATATCAGGTAATATAATTATTAACTTTTATGATAACATATTCGATATTAATTATATATTAATTAGTCACAATCGTTTAACAACTGAACCAGCTACATACATTGGTCGTGGTCTTGCTAAAAGTGAAAGTTTACAAATCATACGTGTAAGAACAAATTATATTATATCATCAAAACTAATATAAATATTTATTTATGTTATCAATTAGTTAACAGGAAATCCACTTGAATCAGCCGGATGTTATGCTATACTTAAACCACTTATAGGAAAAGATACAACACCCAATAAACTTGAACTTATTGATTTAACAGTATAGAATATTTCAATAGAAAACTTCTCTTATGATTTGTATTCATAGGAAATTCTATTAAATAATGATTGTCAAGAGCTTTACTTACAAGTAAAAACTCAACGTCCTGAAATTCGTGTTTTAGTTGGTTTGAGAACACTACCACTATTGTTAAAAAGTAGTCATCGCTCTCAACTATCACCAATGGAACGATTACATACACTTTTTCAACGTCGTCCTGAACTTGATCTCGCAAATTTTTTTTACTCTATTGCTGCTAAACCCCTCCCCATATTAGAGGCCCCCGGGGGGCTTCTAATATGTCTATCATATGAAGCTTCTGGAGGGGGCTTCTATTAAGTCTCAAAAAAATTTCGTAAACTGCCAGGAAAAAGGGTTCGCAAGGGTTTTTAGCGACTTTCAAGGTTTTTATGAGTTTTCCAGAAGATTTTTGACATTATTTTCAGATGTTAGCTAAGCTTGATAAGAGTCAGCCAACTTTTTACCTGAAAATCGAAAAATTTTAGCAGTTTTAGCATGAAAATGCGAAAAAAAATCTTGAAAATTTTAAAATTTTTTCGAAAAATTAGGGGGGCTTCTAATACGTCAAACACGTTGTTCATCTCAGAGGGGGCTTCTAATAAGGGGGGGCTTCTAATATGGGAGGGGCTTCTATTATGGGGAGGGGTTTAGTGATGATCAAATGTCGGATGATCGAATAACAGATCATTCTCAATTGAAACAAGCAATTCAAGAGGTAAGTTATTGATAATTTATCATAGATTTATTTGAATACTATTGATTCATTCTATAATTATAGACACTCAATGCTCAATTTTCTGATGCAGATATTGATAAAATTTTAAAAGAAATAGCTCAATTTGATTGCAAGTATGTATTTGTTAACATATACAGAAATAAAAAATTTCTTAAAGATCATAGATAATTCAATTTTTGATAATGATAAAACAAAGAGTTTTGTTAAGTGTAAAAATGTATAACATCAATTTATTATTATTTTTTTTAATTTTCTTCATTAAGGAAATTTATACAAACTTTTGATAATAAACCAACAACAACGAGTTTATCATCATCATCTTGTCGTTTCAAAAGTTAATTATAAGATCATTGTCTGAACTTTATTTATTGAATTTTATATCATTATGCGAACATTTTTGTATTTTGTAAACATTTAAAAATAAAAATAAACAATAACAATCATATATTTCTTTGATGCCATTGCACGTGTTACTGTTTCATTGGTAATCAGATTTGTCGACGTGCCATTTTTGTGGCAAGATTGTTAAAATTTATGACGTCTATCAAAGTAATTTTGTCTTCTTCCTTTTACTTGTTTAGAAGAAAGAAAGAAAAGCGAAAAAACAACAGAAACACTCTTCTCTTTACGCAATTGCTTATTTTAGTGCGAAAAAATGAGCATATAAAGTAAAAGAAAAATTTATATAATAAATTTTATCAAAATTTGCTGTAAAATTACCAACAATGTCGACCGAAAAGGTGCTATGTTGTTTTAAAAACTTAAAGGTTCATCCAAATGGGCCAAAGATTCTTGCTCGAAATCTCAATAAAACATTCAAAACAACTACTTTTGATGTGATAGAAATACAAGGAGCAATGAATAACAATTGTGAATTAGAATGTACCCGAGAAGAAGCGGATTTTATTGGATCGCATTTATTAGATTTTGTAACAAGTGAACATCGATCAATTTGGTTTACATATCAAACAAAATTAACTGATCAATCATCAGAAAATAATAAATTCATTTATTCAAAAAATCCGATACAAAAATCATGGAAAGTACTTTATAATTTAGGTTCAATGATTTCCTATGATAAATTTTTTGGTCATATTCTTAATAATCGACATCCAGCTCGCATCAAAATAAATAAAGATACACGTGGAAGAGTGAGAAGCATTATTTTGGAAATACGATATACTCAATATCGAATAATATTTGATTTAAACATACTTCATACCAATATTCTTGTTAAATATGGACAAGAAAAAAATAATGAGCCGATCCAAATTATATTGATGCTCAAAGGATTACCACAGATCGAACAGCAGCATCCTAATGGTGATTTCATCAGGAAAAATAATTCAATAATAACTCTATAACAACGATCTGCAAGACAATCGCGTGCCGCTTCGCGCTCTTCACCATACCATGGTCTAGGTATTCCTTGAAGGAACATTGAACACATGAATTAACCTCGATGAAACGCGTTCACAAAGTAAAAACGAAAGAAGCATGCGATAGGCCCATGCTTAAGCGCTGATGCGAGTAAATGAGAGATTTTCTTGCGGATTGCTACTCTACAAATTAGTCATATACACTTGTGTCTTGAAATTTGACTTATTTTAATATTAATCTATTTAGAATTTGCAATTTATCAGAACATAACATAGATCTTGCTGTCATTTGTCAGTGTTCGGATTTATGGTTACAATTTGGCAGTCTTTCCGATGCACAGAATTTTCTTCAACAACTTCTTACTTTCAGTGTTACAAAAAAATTCGTACAAAATTATGTTGATTTTCAATTTTCTTTGTCATCTAACGATAAAACGTCATGTTTATCTTTGTATGATAAAAATTTTTCATCTATATTAGGTTCTTATGGCATGAAAATGCTCGAATCACTTGGTTATTTATTTAAAGATAAATATCTTATTGATCATAATATACAATCAAGATTTATTTTATGTCATGAGAAATCATCGGATAAATTTTATGAATTATGCCATGTTTTATGGAAAAACTTACAACGAGATCATTGTTATTTGCTTAGAAACATATTTGATGATCAAAATATATTTAATTGTACGTTATCCAAAAATAAATATCAAGTTCCACATGCTATTGTTACTCCATTACGGATTTTATTTCAACCAATTCATTTAACCACTGGTCATCGAGCAATGCGACAATATGATAAGAAAAAAGGATATGAATGGATGCTTGTTTATATTAGAGATGAAGATAGTTTTAGTAAAATGATTAATATGAAAGAAAGTGGTGAACTTAGAAATCGATATGGGAAAGTTCTATTAAATGGTCTGTGTTTGGAATCATTTGTCTACAAAGAATTGATGTATTATTACTTTGGCTCATCAGGAAGTCAAATGAAAGAACAAGAATTTTGGTTTTTGGCATCTACTAAAGTCAACTCAGCTGATGGTGCATCTACAGTTAACGAAGCCCGAATAGCATTAGGGGATTTAAAGAAAATTCAAAATATTGCGACATATATTGCACGAGTCGGTCTTTATCTAACAACATCAAAACCAACAGATGTAAGCATGAAATAAGTTTGCAATATCACTGTAGAATTATTTATTTACAAAGATTAAATTAACATTTGTTGGCAAAAACTATTGGGGGTATCCAAAAGTTTCTTTACCATCTCCGTTTACCATTGCCTTTCAAAGATGGATTAAACCTTCTGCTGATCATACGACATATAAAGCATATCTTATCGATGATATTGAACGGCATGGATACTGTTTTACTGATGGTAATGGTCTAATATCATTAGGTCTTGCTAAAAAAGTAGCCATATCAATTGGAATTCGTATTAACAAAAATGTTTGTATATTCTATCATTAAACATACTTTAAACTATATGATCTTCTTATATAGAAGGACATACCATCAGCCTATCAAGTACGTGTTGCTGGATGTAAAGGAATGTTATCTATTGACCCTCAATCGACAATGAATGATAATTATATAAAAGTTCGAAAAAGTATGATGAAATTTGCCAGTGATGATTGGACACTTGACATTGTTGATCATTCTCGATTAAGTAAGTAAATGACTAATTTTCTACTATTCGTATAATACAATTAAATATAGTGTGCTTAAGTCTAAATAATCAAATTATTCGTCTATTATATGACCTTAATAAAGAGAATAAAGCTGTTATTGAATCATTACAAAATCGATGTTGTTTACAAAACGAATGGCATCCATCTGAAGAAGCGTATCTCAATATATTTGATTCAAAAGATATAGATCGTATAAAAGATGACAGTAGACGATGTGGTTATTTAAATGCGTGAGAATATTAGATTTTACTTTTGATGAAACTTTATTTTTCAATATATGTATATAGAAAAGATTTATTACGTTGTAACAAAATTCCATTGCCTGTTGATGAAGGTCGATGTTTATTTGGTATTGCAGACGAAACGAAATCATTAAAAGAAGGTCAATGTTTTATTCAATATCAGACAATGGACAAAAATTTCTATAAAGTTGTGAAAGGTAAAAATAATTAGAATAGAAACATGGCTGAAATTAATACTTTTAAAATATGTTATTAGAGTATACTATACGATAAAACTTGCAAATTATACTTTCTTTCGATTTTAATGTTTGCCTATTTCTGATATGTTTAGTATCTATTATGTGCAAGAGAGAGAATGACTCGAACTAATTCTGAATGTTTTGATTTCAATGTTATTGCTTTATTTTTATATAGGTGAAGTTTTAGTGACGAAAAATCCATGTCTCTATCCAGGCGATATTCTTTGTCTAGAAGCTGTTGACATTCCTGCACTTCGACCATTTATTCGTGATTGTATTGTATTTCCTGTTCTTGGACGTCGACCACACTCAAATGAAATAGCTGGATCTGATCTTGATGGTGATCAATATTGGGTTTATTGGGGAAAAGAACTCCAAGTTAATAAAATAATACCACCATTAGCTTATAGATCAATTTCGAAAACAAAAGTTTCAATAGTTACACCTGAATTAGTTGTTACTCATATTCTTGATAAACTAGATGATACAACATATGGCAATATTAGTAATACACATTCAGTTATAGCTGACAAACATCCAGATGGCACCATGTCAGCTGAGTGTAAATTTCTTGCAGAACTTTTTCCTCGTGCTATTGATTCGATTAAAACTGGTGAACAAATCAATATGGAAGAGATGAAAGAATTAAGAGAAAAATGGTGTGATACATATCCAACATGGATGATGAAAGATGATAAACCAAATTACAAAAGCACAACAATTAATGAACATTTGTTTAATAGAGCTCAAAATTTGCGAATTAACGGATCTGCATATAAATGCATGCATATTAAATATGATAAAATCAATAAAGATACTTTAATTAATATTGAAGAAGATGATGATACAGTTAATAGAGATATTTCAATTTATAGTCGAAATGATTATAATCAAAATGAACAATACTGTATTAATCGTAAAAAATTTTATATCACAACAATGATCGGTTTTTTTATCGTTATTTATATATTTTATCTTATGAAAAAATAAATGAACAAGAATAACCAATCATTTGATATTCAACAGTTATGAAATTATACTTTTAGATGAATACAACAAGAAATAATTACATAGGAAGATATTCTTATAATCGATTCAGTGTTTTTCAACGACTTTCATGTGGTCAATTAGACATGATATACTTTCAATCGATATTGAAATACATATGTAGTTAGTATCATAATTCCACAAACAGATACGATTGAAAAGTTAATTCACTGTTCACTAAATCAAAATAATTGATTACAACTTGTACTGATTTTGTATAATCAACAATACTGTAGTCGACTGCAATAAATATATAACGTGTAGAGTTAATACATCATATTTAATTACCTATGACGAACAAGTTTATATTCATTTTTGTAATATTCTATCAAAAAAAACAGGCACATTGCATAGTATTTCAAAAGTTTATTAGTCTCTATGTTGAAACTCAACTTTTATTATGTGAATTTTTTTTATTTTCATGAAATTTTTTTTTTTATTTTCATTTTATAACTATTTGATGGATGTTATTAAAATATAATAATAAAAGATACATTTGAATTTTACATAATATTATATAAACTAATCAATAGCGAGGTTCATTTTCATAATAAATATGTAATGAATAAGCACAAACTAAACAAATACCAATACCAGCTGAAAGACAAAGACGAATCAATAAATTTAAATTATGTTCATTATAATTTAATTGAAAAAAGTAAAAACCAAATGCAAGCACAAATATTGAACAAACAATAAGCAAATGATGATATAATGGATGATATTTTTGTACTTTTTTAAAGCACATATATGATAAAAGAAAACCCAATAGAAAATAAATTATACAATGCAATGGAATCGGATAAGTTTTGCTCATATATGAATCTTTACTTAATATATTTCCAAGCGATAATATGAATGAAATAGTTATCAAAAGAATATCAAAACGAACAATAATATGAATAAGATTTTGTAATAGATAATATATACTATTGTACAAGCGATGGTATTCACCAGAAATAGATCGTTTATAATAAACTTTATTGATATTAATCTCGTTGGGATTTATTTTCAAACCGTTTTGCTATATGACATAGATGATAAAACAGATGCAACAGTAGAAAAATTGAAGGTAGAAACTTACATGCATCGAAATGTATATAATTACAGTTGAGAAAAAAGGAATTCGAAGATAAATACTAAAACGAATAGGATGACATGTATTATTCGCAAATGATTTTTAACATCAATAATCTTAATAGAATATCATTCTGTACATAAACTGATTTTTTTTTCTATGTGAATGGAATTGATGCAAAAAACAGAATGGCTAGAGGAAATTTTATCATAAAGTAAATATTTAAAAGGAAAAAAAAAATTTCTAAAAAATTTAGATATCATCTGAGATTTCGTTTGAATAATTTAATCATCTAGTTCTATTCACGTAATAAGATCAGATTTCATTTGGTGCTTTTTTCATAACATATTCGAAATGTCAATAAACATAAACACAAGAAGTAAGACATCCTACGTAAAGAAAACAAAAAACTTCAACAACTGTTAATGAGTAAAACATTTTCATGTACAATATATATATATAAATATATATGTATAAGCGACATAGGATCGACAAAACAAAATAAGTGTCCAAGCAAAAACATGATTTATGTATTGAAAGGAAAGCACGCATGAATGCATTTCATGCCTAAATGTATGATTAATATAAAAAATTAATGTATCGTCAATCAAATAATATCATACTTTGAAGATTCTTATAAGTGTCTATTTTTAAAGACTATCGCATAAAGAAATAAAAGATTTAATGATGTGAATTTTTGTCATAATAATTAGTATTAAAAATTTTTTTCTTATTATTATTTATAGGCTAGACATCGTACTAGGTCGCTATATAATCCAATGGAAGCGTTCCTTTGATCTTTTTAAGTGTTCTTTGACCCAGCTACTATCCAATTCAACGTTATTATAATAAACTTCAAGAATACTCATGTATATAGATGTATACTTAAGACATTCTTTTCAAGATTTTTGTCGTATATGAAAAGAAGTTCTTAACTAAAAATCAAGCTCTCTTTAATGATACTATTGACATTCTCTTTATTTTTATTTTTAATCATTAACGATGCTCAAATTCGAATCGAAACATTATACTAATAACAGTATTGATTTTAAAAAAATTAAATAAGATTTATTTGATAGCGTAATAATATTTTCCTGAAATATTTTTTCGCTGGATTGCAGCTGATCATTTATCAAACATTTAATTAATGATTCTTTTATTGATAAACACTAAAGTTTTCATAAGAAAAAAAAAAAGAGTATAAAATATGGAAACCTAATTCACCTCGATTGAATCATTTACTATATTTTCACATTAATTTCATTTCCGGACGAGTAGCTTTGTATCCTAGAGAGATGAAATGTATAGTTTTTAATGTAATGAGTAGAATATTTTTGGAAGTTTTTTTCTCTTGGTCCTGACGCAAGAGAAAACACTAATAATATACATGAACTTTTATCAAATCTTTTAATAAATTCTGCTACCGATATTATCTACGTAAAAGCGATACACGTTTAACATTTATATTGTTGATGAAGTACTTATTACTATTTGATGAAACATTTTTTTTTCTATAGTTATAACAAATTCTGTGGAAATATAAACTAATAAACTCATAGATACTTTTATTTTTACATAATCATTATAATCCATTTTTTCTATTTTATTTAGTTATGTAGCTAGAAAAAATTACTAATAATAATAATAATACGATTATTATGGAAAATAATTTCCGTCATTGATGTATTCACTATAGAAAAACATATGTCATATTAGAAAACTCCTTTATTATTAAGAACATTACTAATCCATACACATAAAAAATTTCTATAGAAATTTATTCATATTTATTTTGTTAGATGCCAGTTATAATCATAAATAAAATATGACTTATTTAGGAAATATATTAAAGATAATGCAGATATATACATAATTTATACAAAAAATAAATTGGAATCATTATTTCTATTTGTTATATATTCATTAAAAGCTATAAATAACAATTGTCCAGATAAAAGTAATAGAATTTATTGTAATCTTGTAAGATAATTATGATAAAATTATAGAAAAGTATTCTTCTTTTTTAATTAGTTTTTTTTATATGAAATCATAGGATATTTTTATTCGAGAAAACAAACCAAGCATAATGAATTACAAAGCCTAATAACAAACATCAGAAAAAAAAAAATTTTGTTGCTTTTTCTTCACAGGATAATTGCATTCGATTAAGAAAGAAATTTTTGTAATGTAAATTTGTAGAGAAAAGCAAATGATAAATGGGAATATGCTTATTAAGATATATCAGTATAAAAAAAACAACAACAAACAACAAGTGTACAATAGAATATGTAGCAAACACGAAAGAAAAATGAAGTATATTGAAAAATACTGATTTAGAAATTTTTTTATATATGTTTAAGCTCACTATTAATCAAGTAAAAGAAAAAAAAAACAAAGCAATCATTAATACACAATAAACTAAGGCATTTTTCATTGATTAATCAGTGTTGAATCAAATAATGTCTTTAAGAGTATCATATGCGGAAGAACTGGTTGTTTGATGTTCGATTCCATGAAGTTGATAAACATGACGTAGACATTCGTCTTCTTGTAGTTCCCTAAAAATAAATACACAGTAAATATAATGTAATAAATTTAATGTTTACAATTAGCCGATGAAGAGCAAAAATGATCTGTTCACACAAAAAATTAAAAGAAAACTGAACTACAGTGTTAGCAAAATAGAAGACAGAACGTACGGAAATAAAAGGACGACAAACATGCCCACTAGACACAAAAGAAGAATACTTTGAACAATATAACAAAAATTTGGGAACTAGTTATGATTATATTCTATCTAGATCAGATGTTAAACAAATACTCTCACCTTTATAAATTGCTGATATTAATCCTTTGAAAAAAAGATTTATGAGATAAAGAATTTAATTAATAAGAATAATAAAGGAAATAATATGATCAAATAGATATGAATTCAAAAGATGTTTTATTTTGTTTGCCTGTTTATAAGTATGTATAATTAATTATTGTTCTATTTGTTTTTTTGTCTTTATACCTTAGTCGCATTTGATCAAGTTCAATTGTTAAATTATTTCTTGTTTCTACTAATTTTGCAATCGTTGTTATTAGTTGTTCTTCACGTTCTTTATCTTTCGTTGTTTTAAGTTCATCTAAATTGATAGAAATTATTTAACATAGAAGAAAGTAGGCTATTTGAAGTTTCATTTTACACTTCAGTACTAATTGAACTCAACATCAAAACGTAAAAATAAGAAAAATTTTTGAGGTCGGTTTCACACAATGATAAAAATAAAAATTATATATGCATCATAGAGTAAATAATGTCCTGTCACTTAAAAAATTTATGATTTAGAATAATTTATTCCCTGATTGTTTTTTAATCTACGTCATCATTTTTTTATCAAAGAGAATTTATTCAAAAGAATAATTGTCAAATAAGATTTATTCATCTCGATATGTATATTTATATAGAAGAAATAATGTTTAAAAATTGTCACATCAAATTTTTTTCAATTTTATAAAACAAAATATGTTATTCATTATGGAAATCATTTATTCTTAAAAATGTGTAGATCATAAAAGATCATTTTAGTTCTATTCTATATATAATTCAATAGTTTGTGCTATAATCCACAATTTTTGAAAAAGTCTTCAAATTTTAACACAACATATAATACGGAATTATTTCAAATGTTTTCTGAACTTAATGATCTTGCAATTATTGATACGTTATTGTGTGCTCGTGGAACAAGATTGTCAACTCATATCATTTCTCTCAATTTATTAAACTGCTTTTTATTGATGTCTATAGCCTATACTACAAAAAATAGTAACTAAAAAAAGAAGACAGATCTAAAAGCCTAAGTCTTTAAGAGCATTAAACATTTGACGTGGATTAACGAGAGATAATTCTAGAATTTGAGGACAATAAAGTCGATCTAAAATCTTCTAATGTTTTATTTGTGACCTCAATAGCCTATCAAAAGATCAGACATCACTGAAAGATACAAAAGTTCTCTAGTATGTCTTATTTTGTCTAATGATGCTGTATTTAATTGTCTGTTAAAAACAAAAGCAGACAATTTGAATTATTAAAAGTATAAATTACCTGGTAAATTAATTAATTGTCTATATTCATTTTCTGCACGTGCACGCTCATTTTCTAATGTCAAACCACTTTTAGTCATTATTAACTCATCTTCTGAACGTTGTAATGCTGTTCTTTCTCGTACAATACATAAACATTCTCGTTCCCAATAAGCTTTTTTCTTTTCATCATTTGTTGATAAATCTATAATGATAGATAAAATTTAAATAAAATTGCAAAGAAAAAACAGAAAATCAAAAATAGATTTTGTTTTATACTTAAGTTTTGCCGTGCTATTGTATAACGTTTATCAAGTTCAATACGTTTTTGTTCAATTTCTTCAAGTTCACGTTGAATTTCTTGTGAACGACGAAAACGAACAAGTTCTTTTTGTCGTTCTTCACGTTGTCGACGACGTTCATTCGATGAACGTTTTCGTTCATCATCTAATGATTGTGATGATGATGATGATAAATTTAAATTTGATTGTGGTATAAGAATTCTTTTCTTTTTTCGATTTATTGATGTTGTTATTGAATTTGTTTCATTTGATTTTAAATTATTTGTTACTATTATTTGTGAATTATTTGTTGATATTGGTGATGATGGACGATTTTGTCCACGTCGTTTAAATCGTTGTTTACCTAAATCATTGTTTTCTTGCTTGGAATTA